TTTTCATCTTTTGTAAGCACATAATATTCATACATTAAATAATGTCAAATCCAGGACTATTTATACAGACATCATTTAAAAGTATATACCGATGAGAATGACCTACCAGATAAACTGTTATAATACCTTCCACTGCCCCTCATTTGCCATCCTGCATCTACAGCAGCTGTTATGCTATCTTGGTCTTTATTTCTGAAAGTCAAAATGGTCAATTTCCATTACAGTATAATACTGACAACATATATATATAAACATTTGAAATTCTACAGGATAAATTGGTTGGTCAAAAATAGATAACTCCATTCCTTAGCTGGGATATCACACAACGTTATGTACATTGATTTTACAGTAATATTTCTGTATTAATTGTATGTCATATTTTGTTTGCTTTATTTTGTTGTATTGTTTGTTTGTCAATTAATGTTAGATCAATGTTTGGTCTTTTTACCTGCGTCACCAAAGGTGAAAGCAGGTATAGTAGTCGCTCGACTCAGTCTGTCCGTCAGTAACGTTTCAACTTTCCGGGGATTTTTTCTACACAACTGGTGATAACAAGCTGAAATTTGGTAGAAGACTCTACTATGATGAGTTACTGATCAAGTTTGCGTTTTGTTTTGGTCAGCAGGTTTTTTGCGAAATTACGGCCTATGGAGTTTGAAAATTCTTCAATATAACACTTTTTTGCACTTTTTTCTAAACCGCTTGATTTATTGAGAGCTGATTTTAAAACCAGATAGTAATGTTCACTTGCCTTTCACCTTGTTCAGCATTTATTGAAGCTATTAAAATTGAAAAATCATTTCTTATTTACTTATGGTGTCCAAGCTACCAATCAAGTTTCACGAAACTTAGTTCAATAGTTTCAGAGGAGAAAGAGATGAAAAGAATACATTTATGTCTCCCCACCAAAGTGAGGGAGCCATTAATATATAATATCAGTAGAAATATTTCTTACTTTTTAGTTAACTCTCTATCCTCACACAGGGCTTGATCGACTGTTTCTTTTGCTACTTCCTGTAGTCCAACTCCAACATCCTTTTGCCTAGCTGACATCAAACAATGGCTCACAGGAGGAATATTCAAACCAGATAGTAATGTGTTCACTTGCCTTTCACCCAGTCCGGCATTTATTGAAGCTATTAAAAAATGAAAAAACTATATTCTATTGCAGTAAAGGCAATTCAATAAATCCAAAACATATTCTAATACAATATTTTTGTAACGCACATTTTAATTTGGTAAAAACTGACCGTCAAATTCTCTATTTACATGCCTTGGCCAGGACAAGGCCTGTTCTTTACTGCCATTTGGCAGCCATTTGGAAATTGCAATAGATCAGGCATTCTGTTTTGCACTATTGATACCAAATCCAATCTGACCTTACTTTTAAAACATCCTTTTGTGCTATTTAATTAATATTTGAGGTGAACAGCAAGTTAAATATGCCCAACAGTTGAAAACATACATCAAGAGGGCAAGTGACGTCATATTTTTACACTGATTATCAACGCCAAAAACGTTGACATCATATTGCGGAATTGTTTTATTTCTAAATTTTTGCAGGCAAAACAAGACTTTCAACACCAAGATTGCATTATAAGAATCACAATGAAAAACCTTCTTTGAATACCTTACCTAGTCAATCTTGATTTGTTTACTGGTTCAGACATACAGACTGATTACTATAAGGTGCCCATGGGCCTAATTAGTTAGACTTTTGTCTGCATTGTATATATGTAAGTTATATCAAGTACCTGTAGCAAGCTTTACATTTGCATCCCATATTCTCTCCTGTCTTTTCCCAGTTGGTATATTATTGACATGTCTGCAAACTGTGTTACTACAAGAAATCTGCCAAAAAAGTTAAACCACAACTTTAAACATCATCTTTACTTGGATTCAATTTTATTTATATATGTATAATACTTGAAGCAAAAGTCAGGCCGTTTTCTACTGAAAATTGTTTCATAGCAAAATGAAGCCAAACAGAAAATAAATTTTAATTTTAAGTTTATATATATCAAAATTCATTAAATTCCTCAATGACTCCAATATCTTTTTTTCTATATTTTTTGGTTAATAAAGAAACAAGAAATGATTGTTACAGGATGCTGTTACGAAGTCTCCCAAACGAAGCTCCCATAATTCGTAATTCCCAGGGTCGCCTGACATTGTGAAAATTGGTTTGGTCCAGTAAAGTTATATGCATTAGTGATTCCTGGGGACTAACCTTGTATATCATTCAACCGTATAACCCTGGAACCTTTTTATTTGAGGCTCCTAGGTCCTAACTTAGAAAATGAGGTCAAGGTAAAAGGTCAAAGGTCAAGTTCTCAATTTGGATATTTCCTTGTTTTTGCATTTTCTCCGACACTTTTAAAGATATATATCAAAGAACAAGTGAAAAATGTTTGCTTTATTGTAATGAAGATATGAAACAATCTGAAGGCATCTTATGGGAGTTAGTGCCCTTGAAATGTTTTAATATAAGGTTAATTGATTATTACTTCAACTTGGTTCATTAAAAAACCATATGACCTGTTACAAAAGGTTAAGTGACAAATGACCTTGAAAAATATAAACCTGAAGTGACCTTGAGAAAACCGGAAGTAGCCATGTTTGCACTTTTTTCATGGAGAAATGCTCGGAATCCATATATTTTGTAATATAAATACATAAACTTACGACCAGAAGTGACTTTCAATCAACCGGAAGATGCCTATTATATCCTGGTTTTCTCTGAACAGTTGGTTTTTAATTATTATTTTTTTTTCTTCCACCAAATTTTGTTCTCGCGTAAAATTTTTGTTTCGCAATATGTCGCTAAGATATTTCTTATATAGCATCATACAGTTTATGCGCTTTTAAATTTTTACCGTGCTAAGCCGAACAATTTTCTTTGTAAGAGTTATCTCCCAATTCACTGTTTATCAAGTGTGTGCATCTCCTTCGTAACAAAAGAAGATATTGAATTGTTCGTTACATCCTCAGAAATATTTGGCTAATTTGGATCGAAACGATTCGATGAAATTTTATAGGGGTTATACCGTTACCTTTTGGTATGTTTTTGTAACTCATAAACCGTTAACCGTATAACCCTAGACTATTTTTATTTGAGGCCACTGGGTCCAAACTTAGAAAATGAGGTCAAGGTCAAAGGTCAAGGTCAATTACATAATTTTGAATTTTCCTTGTTTTTTGCATTTTCTCTGACACTTTTAAACATAAACATAAAAGAACAGGTGCAAAATGTTTGCTTTATTTTAATATAGATATGTTACATTTGGTCTGAAACAATCTAATGGCATCTAATAGGAGTTACTTCCCCGAAATGTCATAATACAAGGTTAATTGATTATTACTCCATCTTGGTACATGATAAAGCCATATGACCTTTTACAGAAGGTTGGATGACATACGACCTTGAACAATAACAACCGGAAGTGACCTTGAGAAAACCGGAGGTAGCCATTTTGCATTTTTTCATGGAAAATAAAATTGAGAATGGAAATGGGGAATGTGTCAAAGAGACAACAACCCGACCATAGAGCAGACAACAACCGAAAAGTACTCGGAATCCATATATTTTGTAATTTAAATACATAAACTTAACACTTAAGACCAGAAGTGACTTTCGATAAACCGGAAGTGGCCAATTATTCCCTTGTTTACAGGCAAAAAAATATAAAAACTATATATTTTTGGAATCAGTGTGAAAGAAGCTATCATATGAGACCGAAAGTGACATTTACTTCACTGGAAGTAGCACATTATCTCTCTTATTTCACTCAAAAGTATATAGAAACCATTGATTTATCGCATCAGAGTAAAGAAACTTATGATTGGATACCAATTTTAACTTTGAGTAAACCAGAACTAGCTTTTTTTCAATAACTTTAAAAGTTGATGTGGAAAGACCTTCAATTGTTCTCTGAACAATTGGTTTTTAATTGTATACTAAGTTCCTTTGGGTAAATTGTGTCAATATGCTTGGAGAATACTTGACTATTATTTAACGACAAAATACTATTAAGATAACGATAATCGTTGATGAATATACGAATTAAAAGGAATTTAGACGGTTCTTTCCTGAATTTGGCAAAAACATAAACTGTGATTCATAACATTAGAGGAACAAGTCTACAATAAAGAGGCAAATCTGGTATCAAGAGGAATACATATAAACTTTAATACCAAAACATATATTATAGTAGTCAAAAGGACATTTTACAGCTTTAATAATATCATCACACTTCCAGCAAGTATATCTAGCATATCTATCTTTTAAATGACAAAAGAAGGTTTGTAATGAGTTGCAGGAGATAAACTTTCAGTTAGATTTTTTCAAACATCCATTTAATTAATTAGAAAACTTTTTGGGAAATTGTAATGAAAAGAGTTGAAAATTAAAAACTCTCCACCGAATTTAAAAAATGACAACCAAAAGCAAATAATATATCTAAAACATCCAAAGAATTGTATACACTCCAGAAAAAGTGAACTTGTTCAAAGTACTGATAGCTTGAATGAAAAATACTTACTAAAGGCCGATGTTTGTTTTGTATTGTTTATGTAACCAAACACAGTAGGGTCCTTCAAATGTTTATTGTGAGCCATTAGTGAGATGTGATGTTGATATACTTGTTTACTATATATATCTCTGTGATGCGCATGGATATACATGTTGAAGAATTTATCAATTCATTCCTAAGAACTTCCGTGAAATATTGACTTCAGACAACAAACACTTTTTTGGGTGTTTTTTTTAGACAGGTTTGAATACAAAACCGCTTTTCGAATACTAAAAGTTTGTATCTTATTCTAGAAGTTTGTATATTATGTAGTATCCTTTTATTAATTTCTCAAATGTGATATTCCAATATCCACAATATCCATACATTAAATTTAATATGAATTGAAAGATTGTTAAACAAATTTCCTCCAATACAGAACAATAGAATGAAGGAGTATATATAGTGACGTGACGACATATTTTTTAGATGAAACAATAGCAGAAATTGATAACCATAGAAAAGACCAGACATATACAGAAATACAGGCCGTTACAGCATGTCTTCAGATGCTCGATAACAGTAAAGTACTGATATTATCTGGTAGAGAGGGAAGTGGTAAAAGTAGAAATAGCTTAGAGATATTAAGACAAATGAAAGAAAAAGATCCAGAAATTGACGTTATCAAACTTAACAGACTCACTCAATTCTCAGATATTATAGAAAAAGATGCAAACACAATAGTTTTTTTTGAAGACGTTTTCGGTAGAACAAGAAAACAGTTTTGTGATGATACTGATATACCAATTCTTGATAGTTTACACTCTTACATTAGTTTACGCAACGTTAGGGTAATATTTGTAATGCGTAACAGTGTAAAACGTGAATGTCAAAGTATTTTGTCATCACATGATATTTTCTGTAATAACACTGCTTGTCTTGATCTAGATTCTAAAGAATTCGAACTGTCATTAATGGAGAAAGAAAGAATTTTTATTGACAACTGCATGAACTGTACACACAAAGAGATAGATATTACTTACAGAAAGAAATTCTTTAATTTTGATGCCAATGTCAATAGCATCAGTATTGAGGAAATAAAAGTGTCCATGATCGACAAACTGGATGTGTCGTGTCATTTTTCTGCAGACAATAAGTGTATAGTTTTCAACTCTCGGGATGTAACAGAAATGATACGAAGCGATCCTTATCATGGGTTTCCAAAATGCTGTCGGCTTTTCACGGAGAACCGAAAATTTACATTATTAGGAGCAGCTTTCTTTAAATATCCTTTAAAAAGTTTATTACAAGAAATTGAGAACATGAGAAGGGAAGGTATGGACAATGTCATTAAGGGAATAAAATATGTCATCTTGGTTTATATACTCTTAAATCAAACTCGGGCATCCATTTCACTCGGCCTCAGTATAAGGTTTGCAGTAAGACAAACAACCTGCTTTCAAGAGAAAATGTTGTCAATGGACGAAAACAGTATTGATATTAAGGCCTTCCGAAAACTTGTCACGGAATGTTATGAAAGAAGTTCCGTTGTAATGTTGCATGACATCAAATATTTCTGTAAAGAACTGACATGTCGATATCTATCAAGACAGGAAAAGGAACTATATTTTCAACATCGAGCAATTCAAGACAGTGTTCTCATTTCCTATTATAAAATAAACCCAAGAGCCATCATACCGCTGCTTAGTTTCGATCATATGGTGGATATTGTCCGCCAGCAAAATTCGATGGAACAAGAAGATGAAATTGTTATTAAAATAGAAAAAACATACTATCATGAACTTGCCACAAAAATCATATCATTCATGAACAATAATTGCGCTTATAATAAAACGCTTACTAATAGACTGATAGAATCAAAAATAATTACAGAGAACGATGAAGATCTGATATTCCAATTAATTGATTGTATACACAAAACACCAACACAGACACCATCGTATAACACAGATTACACCGTTCATTATTTTCCACTACTTTTACTCAAAAATATAAGGAAACTCGATGACAACAAGTTGACTGTTAATCATACACACAATGAAATGTTGATATCAGTTGTCATCGGAGACCAGGAAAGTACCTTTTCTATTGATCCTTCAAAATCGTTAATCCGGGCGTTCGATTCAAAATATGAAGACATTGTCAAATGGGTTTTACAAAACACCAACCATTCCTTACTCAATTTGAATTCAATATTAGCTACAATAGATACTTATAGCATTCAATTTGAACATGTACAGGTGCTATTACAAAATGTAAATCATGATAATATTGATATTGCAGAGATCATGGTTAAACTTAGCCATCAATATTATGACACAAAATATCATGTCATAGATTGGATATTGGATAATGTCGATCATTCTTCAATAAACTTTACCAGATATATTGAAAACCTACTTGATAATAATTGCTATGAATCGATCTTCACCGACTTGATTTTACATATACTAAGAAATATAAACCGAAAATGGTTGGATATATACAGAGTTGTAAAAATGTGTTGTAAAAGAGGATTCATTGACATCATACAGTGGGTGTCTAAGAATTATGATCATGAAGTATTTGAAAATGACGAATTAATTGATATACTAATCAGTTTAGAATTTATCCTTTTTGAGGACCAAAGTATTAATCAAATAGTATATCTGCTGTTATCGACAACTGGTGTAAAGTATAGCGATGTAAACAGGCTTGTTGCTGTTGCAGCTGGTGGTAGATGGTATGAAGTTTTAGAATTAGTATTTGTAGATACTATTGAGGGAGTAATTGATATAAATAAAGTTATAGAAGATGCATTTAAAGAGTTAGATTATTATGATGACAGAGTTCACTGGAAGACAATTGTGCAACTTATATTGAAACACTTAAATCTCAATGATGTTTGTTTAAACAAAATCATGGCGAAAACATGTGAAATAGATGAAAGCAATTTGGTACAATTCTTATTAGAACAGTTTGACCAGAAACAATATAACTTGAACCTCAACAGACATGTTGATGTTGCATTTAATGGTAGATGTTGTGCTGTTTTAGAAATACTTTTTAAACATGACATCGACAAATCAATTGAAATTGGTACAATTATAGAATATGCATGTAATCGTATGGATGATGTTAATTGGTATCATTCAAAAATGGAGCAAATTATGCAACTTTCAATAAAATACTATGTAGGATATATTGATGTACAAAAGATAATCGAGAAAGCATGTGCGACTGGTTTCCACGATGTTGTAAAGGACTTTGTATTGGACACAGTTGATAATATTCCGTTATATCTTGATATTACATTAAATTCACTAATGACTCAACAGGTCCATTATAGTTCAAGATTTGAGAAAAGCCATGAAAAGATACTTCTGTTACTTCTACAGAGTGTTAACGACAAGACCATTGATTTAACTCGTGTTATGACAGATATGTGTAGTATTGGACATTCATCAGCAGTTAAATGGTTACTAGAAAATAAACCTGTACATTTTTTCGATATTAGAAATGTAATGGACAAAGCCTGCTATCATGGTGATCTTGAACTTGTCTATTATCTTCTTCGAAAATACAGTGCAGCAGATTTTGATTTTTTTACTGCAATGATAACGGCTTGTCGAAAGGCGCAAAAGAAATCATTAGATGTTTGTAAATGGGTATGGGAAAACATTGACCATGACTTGCTGGATATAAAGGCATCATTAAATAATGCAAGTAGATTTGGCAATACCGTAGTTGTGGAATGGATCCTTACAGATGTTGACATAATGTTAATTGATACAGAAGCTGCCTTGCTCTGTGCTTGCGAACACGGGAGCGATCATACAGTACAGCTGCTAATGGATAAATCTGGTCTCAACACGTTTGATTTTCAATATGCATGTACTCTGGCGTGCAGGAATGATTACAATGGTTATACAATTATTAACAAACTATTATACAAATGTGCAGATAAATCAACTATTGACTTAAATGCTGTATTGTCAGTCGCATGTAAAAACTACAGGACCGGTATTGTACACTGGATAATTGAAACGTGTGATCAAAGCAAAACTGTAAATGAAACCAACGATGGGAACAAGAATTGTAATAAAAGATTTGACAAACATTTGGTCGACATTGACCGGGCATTAACTTGTATACTTCATATGAATGCTCCAGTACAAAGAAAGGGACATGAGAATGCAACAAAAAAAGAACTTGTTTGGCTGATTCTTAAACAATGCGACCCTAAAGCAATTTATATTTATGAATTGTTGGCAGAGTCATGTAAAAAGGACTGGATAGGAATTTTTCAATGGATACTAAGAAAAGTGGACAATTCTGGTCTTAATGTTGGTGAAATAATAAATGTAGCTTGCAAAAATAGGGCATTTAAAATCGTAAAATGGTCATTAGAAAATATTGATATACAACTTTTAGATGCTAATAACGTGATGATTGGATCATGCGGCACTGGTTGGCTTGAATGTTTGGTCTTAGTTCAGAAACACTGTAACCAATACAAATTGCATGCAGCAATGATCGAAGCTTGTACCCACGGGCACCTTTGTATTGCTAACTGGCTCCTAAACAACTGTAATTATCAGTGTTTTAATCTTCAATTACTTTTAAAGGAAACAGGTCGGAATGGCTGGACACATATTTTCGTTTGGCTTGTAACAAATTTTCATTTTTACATTTCTGACCTTCAGATTGCTACAAAGGAAGCACTTGTAAATGGAAATCTGGAAATTATCAAATTGATGTTATTAGTAGTTGGCAGAGATGCCTTTGATTTGTCTTCTCTTTCGAATGAAGAATTTGCCGATTTAAAAAACGAAAATGTTGTAAATTTCGTTTTACGGCATTTTGATTCGCGGTGCTTAGATTTAAATACAATAATGGCAAATGCATGTAAATTTGGTTGGATAGACATAGTAGCGTTTATCATAGACAACGATTCAAACTGCCTTAGTGATAGTGCACTTGATTTGATAGACATATCATCATTTATTACTGGCAAACATGTCAACTGTCTTTGCGATTTTACATCAGCATTCAACACAGCTTGTGACAACGGAGAAGCAGAAATCGTGCAGCTGTTGATAGTAAATGTCAACCATAAGATATTTGCTGTGCAAAAGGCGATGCTTTCTGTCTGTATTAAAGGATGGGACGAAATAGCTGTATTGTTATTAGACAAAGTCAAACACACACGGCTAGATATCGGAAACGCTCTTATTGAAGCTTGTCGCCATGGAGAAATAGATGTTGCTCAGACAATATTGCGGAAGGTAGACACTACCATGCTAGACGCCAAAACTGCTGTAAACATAGCATGTGAAAATCATATGCATGAAGAACTTGTTTTATGGGTTTTAGAAAATATCCACCAAAAAGAAGTTGATTTGAAAACTGTCAAAATACAGGCAATTCGAAATAAATGGAGGAAAGTTCAATTTGCATTGACTAAGGTAGTTACTAAAGATCTTAATCAAGTCGACAAAGAGAGTGCAACAGATAGCATCATTTTTGTATAATGATTTGGCTAATTATAAAATGAATCAAATAAATCGAACTTGACACATAAGACCACTGAAAACGTGATAAACCATTTACCGACGCAAAGTTATAGTAAGCCAATTTTCGACAGAGTAATCATCATTTATTCTTATCAGTAAATGCCTTTCGCAAACGCAATGATGTATTTCGAAACTTTAAAATTTCTCATTTTCGTTAAATATCTTTAAACATTTTATACATCATTTATTTATTTTTTTATCTATACTTATGTAATTATTTAATTTTTCATTTAACTGTATACATTTTTTGTATTTGTATATATACATTTTTTGTATTTGTATATATACATTTTTTGTATTTGTATATATACATTTTTTGTATTTGTATATGTCATCACTATGGCTGAGTATTGAAATTCACTGCTATTTAATAGATATAAAAAAAATATTTAAAAATGTGCGTCACAGAATCTGTTTTGTTAGTAAATACATGTTATAGGTAAACAGTATTTATTACAAGGGTAATCCTAATGGTAAATGTAACTTATTTAGTGAAAGAAAATTGAGTTAAATTATGACATTATACATCAATGTGTCTTTTAATCAACATGCAAAATCAGCATGATCAGTCAGCTTATCCTATGTATTGTTATTAGTGTCAACACGTGTTGAAAACACATAATTGTTTCTTAGCACAAAATTAAAGTACACCAAAAATCCTCATCAGCTAAGCACGTATTATTAATATGAAACCGCAGCCTCTAGTTAGCTAGGGGTCGCAATAAATCGGCTCGAAATGGGATGCTTTTCCAAGGAATCTACCCAGCGAACTAGCACATTAAAAAACTCTGTCTCAGCATGTCGTTTCCTATACAAAGCTAAGTTTAAAGTCACATAGACTAATCTTTATATGTATATAATATCTGTCTCATGACATATCCATCCTGCAACTTTTGACAAAAGTACTTTAACATACACGCACAAATAAAACCCAAATTTCATGAATTTGGAAAAAAAAAGATTAACATATCTATGCCATAACTCCATAAAAATTGTGTGAATAACAGTGTGTAACAGATGCGGATAAGAGGGCAGGAATCTATGGTATCGGGGAGAAGGTGACCCCCTTTATGAGACTACATTTATGGTTCATGCATATACATTATACCTGTACATCTCTATATACCGTTGTCTAGTTTGCCCCCTTCAAAATCATAGGAACGCAAATGATATCAAATGTTATCAAAAATTAAGGTTTATATGCTATTATCACCTTTTGTGGTTTGTTGTGAATTTGAGCTATTTTTGTATAGTTTTTAAAAGTTTTTGAATTGTAATTATACCTATCTTTTTTAAAATGATTTTATGTTATTGTTATTGTTTATAAAAATATCGACATACATTTATATCTATAATTTGAAATTTTTTTCCAATGAAACGTTGTTGTCCCATTTTTTATGTGATACATTTGTTATTCCTCGAATTAATATTTAAGTTATTAAGAAAGACATAGTTTTCAATCATTTCATCACTCCAATTGATTTAAACATTGTTTAATTGTAATCACAGTTATAAGTATGTTTTAATGTACCTTCATGTAGAGACTTCGGAAGCAATGCCCTTTTCGTTTAGTTGTCAAAATATGACATGTCACTCATTGTATATATTATAACTGCGAAATCGAATATTTGTCATGATTTTTCCATGACATATGTAAATAAGACTTCATCTTATCATTATGGGCTGCTGAAAATCGAAGCCAAAAAAGCGACAGATGTACTCTTTTTTTAGTCGTACTAATTTTGGATTCGTTATGGGGGAGCGCACATTTTTTTTTGCATTTAAGCTCTTGTTTAGGAGAGGTTAATTAAGAGCCTCTTTCATGGTAAACGAGAGATCATCAGATTAGAAAGCATATTCCATTCCCGATAATATCATATGTTTGTCCGAAACTTAAATGTAATTTATGTCCCTTCTCTTCGTTTCTCTTTAAGTGTTTTAATATGATAGACCTTGAATACATCTCTGTGTTATGTATGTCCATGTACTTTAGCTAGATGCAAAATATTGTAAATATTTTCAATAAATCTTGTGACTATTTTTTTGATAATTGGTTCTTATATAGTATTGTTATGCCAGTGTCCCCTGTTACGGGGAGGATTGAGTATAAATATGTCGATTATTGGATGAGCTAGTTCCAATCAAGGAATTTTGTTTGTAGATAATCAAATAAGGCCGTTGATGTTTTTTTTTGGGTTGTTTCATATTTTTTCATACCGAGCTTTTGCCAGCACAATGCAGTTATGTAATATAGGTTTAATTTTGCTAACTGTTTTATGCTGTATGGTGACTTGTTACTATTCACATGTTTTGTCGTTGGCAATTAATCATATGATATATCGGCAATGCTAACGCCGAATGAATGGCTAAAAAAAAGTGAGAAAATATATAGGACACAACAATTCCCTTAAAAATACAACAACAATATGTTTGAAGGACTAGTTTTGCTGTTGATTGCTATTCATGATTGTTAGTGCTATGAATTTTATTTTAATTAAGACCATGAGATAACAAAAGGCAATTAAAAGTGTACCTGTAATTAATCCAACTTTAAAACACGTGGTTTCTGTTCAAACTTTTAATTGAAGAACTGCAAAAATAAATTATTATGTTTATACAAATTACAAATTAGGCAATTGGCATTTTATACTTTTATTTAACGAAATCGAGCATGTAGTATGAAAAAAGGAGATATAGGGTAAACACCAATAAGACTATCCTACGACAAAATAACCAAAACAGACCTTGATAGCAATATGCAGTCGGTCTAGAGCAACAGACAGGTGCCTATGAATTAGTTCTGGTATAAGTTATATTCAGTAATAGTTGGTAACAACAAGAGACAATCAAAGATCTGCCATAAACCCAAACAACGACAAATACTAAAATGACATAGGAAATCAACAGGCAAGATTCCCGACTTGAGAGGGCACATTAAAATATTGTGAATTTAAACTCCTCCGCCGCGTTCTCCGATAGAATACAGTCAATGTTTGAGTGTGCTACATAGGCCGAGGATATTTAAAGTTCCATAATTAAAGTAGAAAAAACAAAGTTGAACATACCGATGAAATATTCAAAACATATATGTCGAAGAAAAACTCACTACGCCATGGCAAACTACAAATAAAAAAGAAGAAAAATAAGACCACAAAACACATTATAGAAAACTAAAGACTAAGCATCTCGAACCCGATGAGAAACCAGCGGTTAACTTAGGTGTTCTAGAAGGGTAACCATAAGCTTTTCCACATGTGACCCCGCAATGCTACTCATGCAAGCGCAAATCGGTCGACAAGTCTCATTCAGTGACGTCACTATCAAGGATGAGAGGACGAGAGGAGAGGAGAGTGGTTAGAGGAATAGGAACATATATATGGTCATCTGTGGTACATATATTTAATAACGGTCAACGAATTAGTAATGGTGTTCGTAAACATGCGAATGGATGACCCTCAATCTTACCAAATTGAAACTTTATTCAATAGCTTCCTTTTAGCTACATTCCGCTATAAAGTTATTTTAAAATGGGAAACGCATTAACTGGGGTTTGTGTCGACATACAGATTCATTTTCATATACAGGCGCTTTTAAAAATGTGCTACTTAGAAATGAAAATTTCGTAGAATCAATTTTTTGTCGTGTAGCTTTGTTTCAAACCGACCCATATTGTCAATTTCTAAATGGAAGACAAAATATGAAGCAGTCTTAAGTCTGTGGTAAGTTTGTTTGGTTAGATGTATGAAAAAGAAGAGGTGGTGTGATTGTCAATGAGACAACTCTTCACAAGTGACCAAATGACACAGAAATTAACAACTGTAGGTCACAATACGGCCTTCAACAATTAGCAAAGCCCATACCGCATAGTCATCTATGAAAGGCTCAGAAATGACTAATTTCGAGAAGTGTAAATCGCTTTATAAAAATGACGATATCGTATTCTGAAATACAAATGACCAGCAATTCTATGAAGTATGGTCTTTGAGAAGGTGTGTCCAGAGAGTGTCTTAATGGTACTATCCTTCTATAATACATGCATATACATCACGGTAAAGAGATCTTCTTCACATAATAAGAAACAATCCTTCCAAGTCAATCTGAGTGAATTCAAATTTATCGTAACTCGCTTATTTGTAGAAATCTAATGAGCATAGCAAAATGAGGGATCTATATTTTAAGTAGATTGCTACCTAGTATGAAAGCCTTCTGAATGACTGCCTCCAATGGGTTGCGTTTAAAATACGTTATTGTGCTACAATAGACAAAAAATGGTCCCATTGCTTCCGTAAGAATTGTAAAGTCATAATTTAAAGTATGAAATAGAAAATATAATAAAAATAAGTCTAGAACATTTGAAAGCTGTCTGTCAAGCGGTCTCTGGGAAATGTTGTATTTCGGACAACAGACTGTCGAACACTATGGCTATTCCCTTAAGATTCGTGTAGCCAGAGCTAGACAAAAGCCAAAAAAAAAACGAGGAATATAAAAATGAAAGTCTTCAAATCTATTACCAGAAGACTGGAGATAAACTATTAGCACAAAACCTGGAACTCATGTGCTCCGAAAATGTATCGTTTTGTTTAAGACAAGTTGTTTCATCAGGTGCGATTGTGGTAATGTGTGACAGATTGCAGTAGCAACCATCTAAACAATGGAAACATGTAAATGCACACCTTGTTAGACGAATCAAAAACAAAAATTACAAATAGATTCATAAAAAAGTAAAGATATGTTTTTTTTATTATTTGTTTTACATTGAAAAAAAAAGCAGTCACATTCTTCGTAGGACTAAGTTTGTTTTTGTATCAATATTATAACAATAATGTTATTTTATTTTCCAATAAGGTTCTGCGATACGCAACATTTTTTTATATACCAGTAGTTTATTAAGTTGAACTGTGAGCTATTGCTCACAAATGTTATATGTTAAAGTTATTCGTTAAAAAGGAGGTTGATGACTAATGGATGTGAAAATGCATCACACGATAAAGAATGCTCACACGCAGAGTGATTAAAAACTCCATAATTCCATTGGTTCATAGTTTTGGAATTTTCTTCAGTACTTGTGTCCGAAACAGTTTATACAGTAATTTGGTTTATTTCTGAGTACGATAAATGTATTGCAAGGCCTGAATTGTAATTCCTGAGAAAAATGCGACAAAAATGTTATACATTGTCGTTATGTGTAGGAATAAGTATTTATTAAACTGGAGGTTGTTGCCACCAAACTAGTATGTAAACTCATCATAGATACCAGGATTGAAATTTTATATTTACGCCAGACGCGCGTTTTGTCTACAAAAGACTCATCAGTTACGCTATAATCAAAAATCAAAAAGTGTGCCCAGTCTTACAAAGAGGGACGCAAACACTGAAAGGGTTATCTATTCATACATACAGTTTCATTCATGTATATATATATATATAATCCTTGGTCTACTAGCAGCTTCATATTTTTGTTGCTAATTGCTAAGTCGTAAGAAAAGAGGATCACATTAGCCAAAACTAATCTTAAAGTCAGGTTTTAACACCTAATCTCCCTTATTATAGATTAATAATTTTACAAATGAAAATTTCTGATCCACGTTAAGAATATGATAGTTGTTATTCTTTTGTTTTGGTGTATTTGAGCGTTTACGTTTGCCCTTTGATTACGGACTTTCTGTTTTGAACTTTCCTCAGAGTTCCTGTACTTTCTATTTAGTCATTTACTACCCGATTTTGTTTTATTAATCTTACAACCAGTATGTACGCTTGATCTTAAAAGTATTACTTCATTAATTGTGTATTTGTGAGGAAATAAATTTTGAATAGTACGGCATAAGAGGGGCCTTAAATTTCCTAAACCACTCCACTATTCAATGAAAAAATATTATTTATATTATTCTTATATGTTTTCCTTGTTTGAGTATCTAATGACCTTGGCAAACACAATGTTTTTAATTAATTTTAGTGAACATTACAAGGTAAAATGTGTATAATATGTATAAAGAATAACAATGTCATTACTTGTATTGGTGCATTTGTAAATAGGCCTTATAATACAGCGTAAAACAATTTTTTCAACCCAAAAGTGGAATATTTGTATTAGAAAAGATGTTTGTATTAAAGTTTTAATACATATAGAACATTTACAATTTTTCAATTTTCCCTTTCTCTGGTGTAAAGCTCAGTGATTCATGTCCCAGCCTCTTAAACACCTTACATGTATTAAAAATGTTAGCCAAATAGACGGCAACAGCTCAACATTTTTTGGAAGATATTATGTGTCAAACTATTAACTTAGCATGAATATAAAATTATTTCACAAGTGAAAGTTTACTCCTGAAAATAAATCACCAAAGTCAATTATCAAGTGGCCATCATATTTATTCATAAGGTGCTTGTGTTTTGTGTCATTAAAAAGTTAGATAACAAAAATTCCGAACTCCGAGGAAAATTCAAATGTATATAAAGTTGCAATCATATTCATTCATAAAGTGCTTACAGGAAATAAGTCAGATTTACAATGGACAAAAAAAGTTTTATTCTTATCGACAATATAGGTAATTGGTTTCATAACATTACATAACGATACACTTAATTAAAACTGACTGTTAACAAAAAGATATCTTGCTGATGTTCCCCATGCCAAACATTTTTGTTGACACCAACCACACCTGAAATATTATGCCTGGGTCTGAATTTTATTTTTGCTCATGTGTTTTGTCTATATGCCATTTTGTTTTTAGATAAAAAAAAAAGATAAATATTTGGGTTTTTTTTTTATAATTATTAGATTATAACACAATTTTCACTGCTGTTTTCCCATTTTTGACATGTTTGCCTACTACGTCTGTTTGTTTTGTTTATACACTGTTGTCAATATAATTGAATTTTATGCGACTGTCATACATGTGAGAGGTTAAGCTAGTTATAATACTAGCTTTAATCTACCATTTTCTACACAAGGAAATGCCTGTCGACGTCAAGAGTATGACAGTTGTTTTCATTCGTTTGATATGATGTCCTTATTCAACCAAACGCTTTTTTTCACACGGGAGT